TGCGGCGTGAGAACAGAACTAGTTGAGCTCAGTAGTTACTTTACTCCTGTTTCAAAGCTGAGAGAGGCTCACACAATTCCTCATTCCCCCAAAAAACCCCTTGGTGGGGTGTTAGCACCCCACATCAACTTTGAAAATCATCTCTGATTATCCCTGAAGATTATCCTGGAGAATCATGCATGTGGATCATCCCTGAAGATCATCCCTGAAACATCACCGGGCTCCTGGGAATGAGAGCAAAGGCGTGGAAGTCCTCTCCTAGGGAGGGAGCAACCTCCTAATTTCATAGTACATCAGGCCCTTGAGAAGATCCCTGGCCCACCAGCACCTCCTCAAGGTGGGTCTTCTCATGGAAAAGACGCTCGGCAGCCTCACTGAAGGAATTCCCATGGACCTCATATATGTGGTAGATCTCCGGCACATGAGTCTCAGGTGCACGGTGAAGTTGGAGAGGTCCTGAAAGGTTTTTGGAAACTTCTGATACATCTATGGCCTCTCCCTGGTATGGATCCATTGGTGAACTGTGACTTTATTCTTCTCAAAAATGTTTTTCCCACAATTGAAGCAAGAAAAATATTCTTTTCCAGTGTGGGTCAATGATACCTGGAAGGACCCGACTCACGGCTGAAGCGCTCCCCACACTTGGGGCACTTGTAGGGTCTCTTGCTCTGGTGGGTCCTTTGGTGACGGACTAAGGTGCTGATGTTGTTGAAGGTCTTCTTGCAATATGGGCACGTGCAGGGGCGTTCTCCTGTGTGGATTATTTGATGGTGTGTCACGCTGTTAGTCCAGCAGAAAGTCTCTCTGACCACGTACGGATCTTCTGTTTGGTAGAGGCCATTTGTGCTCGTTTGGCTGATGGGATGTTCCTCACACTATCCCCTTCGCTTGTTGGGGTCTGCTCCTTCTAGTTCTCCAACTTCTCCTCCAGACCTGGGGGTGGTGGTTCTGGCTTCAGCTGGGTCTCTTGATGTCTGCTTGAGAAAGGGAAAGTCATGGCACCAACGGGACCTCTGCCACTGAGGACAGAAGAGAAACCGTAGGATCTGTTGGGGTAATGCTGGTTGAGAAGACCCGGGAGGGGCTTTGCCACTACAGACGGGGGATGCGTGAAGAAGGGACTCTGCATCCACAACTGAACCTGGGAGATGTTCTTGGATACCCTTTGCTCGCACCACCCCTGCCTGGAGGAGCTGCTTCCAGTGCAGTTCCCTCAGCTGGGAACATCCTGCTCAGAGCAGGACTATCCCTACTGACAGACCAACCCAACCTGGGGACAGAGCAAATCCATCCCCAGGGACATCTCCCACCCCATCGCCACTGCCACGCTGGGAGCAGGAACCCCAAAACAGCTCCACCACATGCTTCTCCCTCTGTCCTGATTTTAGCTAAAACCCACAATTCTGTTTCGTGATTTTTACTTCCCACTTTAGTCCATCCCCACCCACAGCTCCACGAAGGCAGGGGAAATCTCACCCTAAAGGCCCCACTGAGGAGGACTCACCTTTGTGGAGGGCTTTCAGGTGCCTCTTGATGTGATACCTCTGGCTGAAGGTCTTATCACAACGTGGGCAGGCAAAGGGCTTCTCTGCTTTGTGGGTGCAGCGGTGGTTGGCAGAGCCCACGCGTGGTGCAGAGGAAGGGCTCCTCCTCGATGTGTGTCTTCCAGTGCTGCAGGAGGACCGTGCTCTCAGTGAAGCTCTGCCCACGCTCTGTGCACTTGAAGGACTTCTCGCTGGCGCGGATCCGCTGGTGACGGGTCAGGCTGCTCTTGACGCTGAACACTTCTTGCAGACACCACAGGCGTGGACTGTCTCTTTGGAGCTGCGCATTCGTTTGGGCGTACCTGCAGCAAAGGGACATCCATGATGGGGCAGATCAGAGACCCAGAGACTCAGAGACTCAAAGACTCAGACACTCAGACACTCAGACAAAGACTCACTCAGAGACTCACTCAGAGACTCACTCAGAGACTCAGAGACTCAAAGACTCAGAGACTCAGAGAATCAGAGACTCAGAGACTCAGACACTCAGAGACTCACTCAGAGATTCGGAGACTCGGAGACTCGGAGACTCAGAGACTCAAAGACTGTCTTAGGTTGGAAGGGACCTTAGGGACCATCTAGTCCAACATTCCTGCCATGGGCAGGGACACCCTTAACTAGACCAGGTTGCTCAAGGCTCCGTCCAACCTGGCCTTGAACACCTCCAGGGAGG